CGCCGGGGGGCCAGGCGGGGCTTTGGGGGGGGGGGGGTGGGCTGGGCTGTTGGTTGCAGGTCACCCGAGTTCCCCAGGCTCGGGGACCCCAGGGCTTGATGTGGTCCCTGAGATGGAGGGGATACAAGAGGGGGCAGGTCAGCCCCAAGACCCTGGCAGGGCCATGGATGCCCTGTGGCACAAGGGCCGGATCGGGTCCCTCCTGCCCAGTGCTGTGCCCATGCTCATAGCCATGCACGGAGCACTGACACCCACTCCTGTGCCCATAGCAGGGGGAGCTGGGCCACTGTCCCCTGCCCCATCCCACCCAGGCACCTCGGCCCCTGCCTGGGCAAGGGGGCTCACTGGGCCCTGCTGATGCGGGGTGGGTTGACAGAGAGCCAGCCTGGTGCTGGGGATGTCCTGCCATGCCCTAGCCCAGCCTGGTGCCAGCCCCAGCCGTCCTTGACAGTTGCTGCACCAATGCTGCTGTCCCCAGAACTCTTTGGCAGAGGCCACGCTGGGCCAAATCCTACTGCCCACCCCCTCCCGCCCTGTGGCGGGTGACCTGCCTCCTCCAGTGGGGTTGGTGGTGGGCAGGGGACGTCAAGGACACAGAGGGAACTGGCACTCATGTCTTCTCCCCTTGCCACGCAGGCTCTGGTGTGGATGACCCTGTCGGGGAGGTGTCCATCCACGTGGAGCTCTTCACCCACCCCGGCACTGGTGAACACAAAGTCACTGTCAAAGGTGGGTTCTGCTGGCTGGGATGCCAGGGTCTGGCAGGTGGCAGCACCCTGTGAGCCTCACGTGCCCCCTCCTTGCAGTGGTGGCTGCGAACGACCTCAAGTGGCAGACGTCGGGCATCTTCCGGCCCTTCATTGAGGTCAACATCATCGGGCCCCACCTCAGTGACAAGAAGAGGAAATTCGCCACCAAATCCAAGAACAACAGCTGGGCCCCCAAGTACAACGAGAGCTTCCAGTTGTGAGTGGCACCGCAGGGCTGGGGTGTGGGGCCGGGCTAGGGGATGTGTCCCCACGACGTGGGGACCCCCTCCTCCTGGGGTCTGCCCGTGAGTTTGCTCGTCCCCCAGGGGATGTTTTAGATGTTTTCTCATTGGTAAAAGCAGGGATTGGGGAAAAGGAAAAAAAAAATGAAAAGGCTTTTTTAGGGGCAGTGGGGAGGCAGCACCCATATAGGGTGCTGTCACAGAGCCAGGGGGCCTGGGAATGTGACCCCCTATGCCAACACTGCCCGTTCCTTGCCCCCCCGCAGCACGCTGGGGACGGAGACGGGCCCCGAGTGCTACGAGCTGCAGGTGTGCGTGAAGGATTACTGCTTCGCTCGTGAGGACCGGACAGTGGGCATTGCTGTCCTGCAGCTCCGCGAGATCCTGCAGCGACCTGGCTGTGCCTGCTGGCTGCCCCTGGGCCGCCGCATCCACATGGATGACACTGGCCTCACGGTCCTCCGCATCCTCTCCCAGCGCAACAATGATGAGGTGGCCAAGGAGTTCGTCAAGCTCAAGTCGGACACACGCTCGGCCGAGGAGGGCAGCAGTTAAACCCCTTCCACCCCCCCAGCCCTCTCCCCCCACTCCTGGCCCCTTTTCTACAGCATCCTCCAGCCACGTATAAGCCATAAGAGCGGCCACAAGAGGAGTCTCCTTCTCGGCCCTGGTGTGGGTGACGGGGGGACGTGGCTGCAGTGACAGACCCACCCTGCCCCTCCCTTGGCCAGACTGGCTGGGTGACAGCGGTGCAGAGCATGGCCATGCCCCCATCCCACCCTGACAGGAAGGTGCTGGGGCTGGTGGGGCTGCAGGGAAGGGCTGGACCCCAGACTGGGTGATGGGACAGATCTGCCCCTTCCCAGCCTGTCTGAGATGGAGGGACCCCAATGGCCCGTCCCTGACCCTACCCCGTCCCACCCAGCCCCAAACCTCATCGAGCGACACAAGGAAAGAGCTGGGGGTGGGGTGGGGGGGTG